ATTGGATATCACTGCAAAAATCATGATTGTGGACTTCCATTCCTCTTAATTTGGAAAATGACAAAGGCACGTCCCGTTTTGGAGTGCTATGAGGTACGACGAAAAAACGAGTGAAAAAAATGAATAATGTATAAAATAATGATGTCATACATACGTAACAGAATGTACCATTAAAGTCATCAGAGCATCAAGTTAGGAGTGGGTCAACAATTATTGAGAATCATCACCACTAGATTCTTTGCGCTCCCGCATTCCAAAAGTGGGGTTGTGTATTGCTTGAGTGGTCACTGTACCAATCTAAGTCCTGCCACACAACAACAAAAATAAATTAAGAGAGTTTACCAATATTTATTTTAGAAAAATTATATAATAAATAGTGATCTAAGAAAACAAATTTTGGGTTTGAAAGTCCACTAAGTATATGAAAAATATTATTATTTTTAATTTTTGGCTTGATGATAATGATTTTCCTACTCCTACATATCTGTATGTGTAATAAAATTCATTTTATATTGTCTCATATTAATTATTTTAGACTAAAATATTTCTAATTAAAGTAGGTTCTCTTAATTTGGTAAAAGCCATTAGTTATAAATTCTGTAAAGAGTATGCACTCAAGTTAAATTAGGAAAAAGATAAATATTAATTAAGAAAAATAAATGATATAAAACATGCACTTTAATTGGTCATATATATATATATATATGAATAATAATAAAGAAAGATAAATAGTATAAAGATAATTTTAAAAATATATATAAATAAGAAAAATTTATTATTATCAATTAAATTAATTATTTTTCTAAATTTTGGTGAATCGGGTAATTAGATCTTTTATGGAGGAACGAAGGTAATATATATGTGTGCGAAATAGAAGAATATTTATTAACTGAATAACAAATAAGTAAATTTATTTTTAATATTATAATATTTAATAGTTCTCTGAAAAAAATATTGAACAGTGGTATTTAATAATAAAAAAAGCTTGCAAAGAATGCATATCATGAGTGGACAATATTGTATTTAGGATTGATTTTGGCATAAATGATAAATCTTAATGCATATTTGGACCTGCGTTAAGGTGTTCCAAATTTATGTCCAACTTGATTTGAACGTAGAAGTGTATGTTTGAAACAACTGTGAAACACACGTAAGCATTTAAATTCACGTAAAAAATGAACAGGTAATTATGTTAGATAGGGTGGTTTGCTTTTGAATTTGTCTTTTGGTGGTGTGAGATTAACGAGTAAGTTGATTGAGGGAATGGTGGGTAGAAGAGAATGAGAAGATTGACTAGAAGTCAAGGTTGAAGTTTGATGAGTAAGATGCATATTCTACGACCCGTGTAGCCCTCGTGTCTGCTGCTTTTTTACTACCCACATCGTAAACATGTTGGTTTATTTAGGGACAACTTTACTATGTTCCCATTTCACTATCTCCTCCTGCAATAAAATAAAACTATATATATATAAAGAGAAAGATTTTTTTATTCTAGAAATAAATCAATCTAAACTTATTTCATTTAATAATTTATGTTTTACATCAAATTTTGATAATTTAACCGTTGAATTTAAAATTTTTATTCTATAGATCAAGTTAGCAAATTTAAAAATGAAAATAAAAATCAATTAATACTTTGTTTCATTAATTAAAACCAACATATAAAATGATTTTATAATTATCTGTTAATTTAAATTAATGAAACAAAGTATTAAATAATTTGGTAATATAATTTTCTCTTCATATTTTAACTACTTTCTTGTATCATATTAATTATTTAATAGAAGTGTAAAAATACAATTTTAAGACCTATAAAATGTGGAGTGAAAAAATATTTATAATATTAATTTGATCTAACAAAAGGTGAGAGATCTAATTTCTATTTTGTTTATTCACCAGTTTCAAATGTCCACAATATTTCTAATCAACTACCTAACACAAGTACAAAATTATAACTGACAAAAAAATAAATAAAAAATTAATTATTATTATACCCTCTAGATTTCTAATTGACTGAATGGATTGAGTATAAACTCTTTGCACTGTTAATATCCGACTGAGTAAGCAGAATTCAGGGTCACTCATAAATTTTTTAAGATTAATTAAGACAGTAATTTTCATGATCTTGCACATATTTGATTATGATTATAAATTTAATTTATAGGCTCATTATGAGAAATAAAATCAAGGCTTATTTCAAGGGATTAGGATCAAAGAAAAATATTTATATCCTTAATATGACACACATATATATAAAGGAAAAAGAGTTTTTACTAAAAAAAGGTTACACTCATCGAATATTCTAGGTCAAAACAACGACTAAGTTCTCTTAGAGTTCATGTCATTAGGGGTTCTTTGACTACTATCCTTTTACTGGAACAATTATTAATTTAGAAATTGAAAGGTAGAATTTCTCTTAAAAAAAATGATTTTTAAAGTGACGTGATTTAGATTTATATTCCATATTTTTTTGAGAAAACAAAAAAGTTTTGTTTGGTCGTTTACTAATAATACCTTTTCATTTTTACCATAAAATTCATATTCCTAATTATGGGTACAAGCTACATGCGGTAAAAAAGGATGGCTCATGATATATACATTTTTTTTTATAATAATTACACATCTTTTATTTTATTTTTAAAAATCCAAAAATATTCATATATATTTTTTAATTTTTTATTTTTATACCTCCAATTTTCAATTTAATTACTACTTTTTTTTCACGCATCTCTTTTCTTCTCTCTTTCAGTTTTCACATGCATCCTTTTGTCTTCTTCAATTTTCTACCTATTTTAATGTGTAGTTTTAGTTCTCTCGATTTTTACATTACTTTCTTATTTTCTCACCTCTTTCACTTTTTCACATCCACCCAAATCGTAGAACTGGTACGCGACAACATCGTGAGTACGTACAACTTCCTCGACAATTTCTACTGAACTAAACATATATTTTTTTCTTCCAACACTTTATTTCCTTTCACCCCCTCCAAAAACCTTAACATTTAGTTTAGTGTTATGAAAAAGACATTTTCATTATTTCGAAGTACTGTGCGGGATAGGGAAATTAATGTTTCGGAAATAACCATTGGAAATGTGTTATTTTGCATACTTCCTAAAAGTACTTTTCAGAACAAAAAATTTTCGTGTTTCAAAAAGTATTTTTCGGAAGTAAGTAAAATTATACTTTCAAAAAGTATTTTTTGAAATAGTAAAGTTAATGTTTCGAAAAGTACTTTTTAAAAGTGTGTTATTTTACATAATTCTGGAAAGTACTTTTCGAAATATTGAATTTTATTATTTTGGAATAATGTGAAATAACATACTTTTGAAATGTATTTTTTGAAACATTAACTTTCTAAAACATTAATTTTAATATTTCAAAAAGTACTTTTTGGAAGTATGTTGTTTTACATTATTCTAGAAATTACTTTCTAGAACAATAATTTAGTATTCCAAATATTACTTTCTGGAAGTATGTTAAAAACTTAATTTTGAAACATGCTTTCGATAAAATTATTATTCTAAAAACCACTTTCTGAAATACTAAAATTATTTGATGTTGTGTTTTAGACGTGTAAATCAGAGAAGTGCTTGAAGAAAAAATGCACATTTGACTCGATACTTTTGACACTGTCGAGAAAGCCATATATATGTGCCTTTAATGTTGTTAAAAACTAGTTCTATGTTTTAGGTGTGTATGAAAATTAAAAGTGGTAAAAGATAATAGTGAGAAAATTGAAAGAGAAAAAAAGAAGAGAATAATGTAAAACTAAAAGAATTAAAATTATCTATCGAAATAGGTGGAAGACCTAGGAGGAAAGGTATGGAGATGTGTGCAAATACAAGGGAAGGAGATGTGTGAAAAAAAATTTAAATTAAATGTTGTAAATGTAAACTTAAAAAATTAAAAATTATAAAAATTAATGATATTTTAAAATTTTAGTTAACTTTTTTTAAAAAAAAAAAAAAGATGTATATTTATAAAAAAAAGGAGACGTATATATCATGAGTAGAAAAAGACACGGGTGATGATATATACACCTCCTATTTTTTATAAATACACCTCCAATCTCTTTTTTTAAAATAAAATTTCTAAAATATCCTTCTAACTAAATATGATTTATGTTGATGGAAACGTTAATTTTAGCATTCTGGAAAGTATTTTCCGGAATAGTAAAATTATTATTCCGGAAAGCGTTTTCCGGATGTGTGGTTCTTATATAATTCCGGAAAGTTCTTTCCGGAACATTAAATTAAGTATTCCGAAAAATATTTTCCGGAATTATGTAACAAGCACACTTCCGGATTTATTATTTTTCTAATTTATAATTTTTCAGATTCACACCTCTCTTCTCACTGTTCTTCTTTCTTCTTTGTGCATCCCGTTTCTTCTTCTTTACTTTTTTCTTCGCACCTCCATACCTCCCCTTCTTCCCTTTTCAATTTCTGCATTATTCTCTTCCCTTTTTAGTTTTGTTATAAGTTGTAAGCGGGTTCAGTATCGAAGGGAAATGTGTCAAACCATATGCATTTTTTCTTTCAAGTAATTCTTCTCATTATTTGTTCTGAAAAGTGTTTTCCAAAATAATAAAGCTTTTGTTCCGGAAAGTATATTTAGAAATAGTAAATTTTTTATTCTGGAAAGTATTTTCCGAAAGTGTGCTTGTTACATAATTCTGAAAAATATTTTCCAGAATACTAAATTTAATGTTCCAGAAAGAACTTTCCGGAATTATATAAGAAATACATTTCTGGAAAATGCTTTCCGGAACAATAATTTTACTATTCCGAAAAATACTTTCCGAAATGCTAAAATTAACGTTTCTATCAACATAATCATATTTAGTTAGAAGAATATTTTAAAAATTTTATTTTAAAAAAAGAGATTAGAAATATATTTATAAAAAATAGGAGGTGTATATATCATCACCCAAAAGACAGAGGAGGATGTGAGCCCATAAAGGCCCACACGGAAAGATTATGTTTGTTTGGACCAGAAACTAACAAGAGCAAGCAATGCGGTTTTTCATTAAAGTGATTACATATACCGAGAATATAGTGCTTTCATATGAATATCATAACATAGTGCTACCACAACTGCATATGCAACTTTCATGTTATTTATTACACACATGACATGACGCATATGGACACCTAAAATACCAAACCATACAACAGTATATATTTTTGTTCATTCCTAGGGATTATGTTACTGTAGAAGAAACTAAGGTATTCCGATGATGGGGAAGAAAGGAACATAGTAGCTACTTGGTGGCAAACCCCATTCCGGAGGCAGAGGAAGATCAAAGGTTTTGGATGAAGCGAAGACGTTGGCATCCTTATTGCATTCTGTGTTTTGAGGACAGGATGTGAAGAAAGTAAGAGGAGTGGAGATGGTGTAAGTGTTCTTGTCATTTCCCTTTACAATTTGGGAGAGTTGGTCTTTGTTAGAGGCATAAACCTGATCTGGCCCTCCAACAAGTTTAGCAAAGCAGTTCGAAGAGGGAGGGTTTGTTTGGTCTGAGGGAAGTTTCACTTTGAAGAAGCCGTTATCTTCTGTGGTCGCCACAGCCACCTTTTTCACACCTTCACACTTCACTGAGACCTTCATGCCTGAAAACATCAAACACTTGCACAATCAAGCGTATGTATCTTATTCCCATGTTTCAGAATAATTATTAGAGCTATTAATAAAAATTTAAATTTATAATTTTCTGGCTTTTTTTTATAAATAAAATTATATATAGTATGAAGATAAATTTGTTTTAATCCTCAAATTTTAATTTTTTTTCTTTCTATAATGTGAAAAAAAAAATACTTTAATATTTTTCTATTCAAACGTTATTAGTACGTGAATCTCACTTAATAAAACATGCTTATTCTTATAACATAAATTCACGTAATATCTTTATTAGTGATAACAATTAATTAGACAATGTTACACAATTTGACTTAATATGTGCTAATTAGTTTGCTGTATGTAATTTTTAGGAACTAAAATATTTATTTAAAAAATTATATATAAAGACTAATTTTAAATTTGTGAAAAAATAAATTGATTCAAATTCGAGGACTACAAAACAATCCTTATTACGAATGTAAAGGTTTTGTTCTTTGTCATTTTATCACATTAAGAAGAGTAATTTATTATATATATATATATATATATATATATATATTATTTAAATGATACCGATATAATTTTTTTATCAATTATTATATTATTTAATAATTTTATATTAGATATGAATTTTGTTGATTTAATTGTTGAATTATAATTTTATATTATCTTATATATTTATATCAATTTTTGTTAAAATTAAACAATAATTTAAAAATAATTAAATTATTTATATTTTAATATACTTTGATATATATGATTTAGGAGTGAAAATTTTTTAATCTAACAAATTTTTTAAAATAATTATTTAATTAAAATTATTAAGTGGTGTAATAATTAATAAAAATTATATTAATGTCATTTGATTTTCTCTCTTTTTCTTTCTTTCTTTTTCTCTCTCTATATATATACCATTAATTATATAAATGTGATATCCCTCTTTATAACTATTTTTAATTTTTACTTTCAATTGAAATATTATATCCTTCAAATACTTAGGAAAAGTAGTAATTAAGAGGTTTTTTTTTTTCCAATTAATAAATAATGTATTCTCTCATATGATTAATAATTTTTTCACACTATTCTAATAACACTATCATCTCATTTCTTATAATTTTTTAAAAACTCTAAAGCGATCAAAAAATTTCTTCCACTTTTCAAAAATTACCCACTTTATTATTTTTTATGTATTAAAAAAATTAATAGATACAAAATATATGCATCTCTCCATATAAAATATATATATAT